AGGACCGCTTGTGTCCCCTCTGATTTCACTGAAAGCTAATCAAATCTGATACTGTCGTGGTGGTAGTTGTACAATCTCTGCTTACATGTCCAGTTTGACTGCACTTAAAGCAACCTGAACTCCCTGCCTTGCACGTCCCCTCGTGTAACTTGTCGCATTTTCCATAAGGTTTGTGGCCCTGCTGGCTCCTAGGTCAATAGTTTGACACCTTGGGCTTCTTGGCCGCACTCCCTGACTGAACCCCCTCTGGTTTCCTCTTATTCTCCATCTCTCTCTCTCTCTCTCTCTCTCTCTCTATATATATATATATATATATATATATATATATATATATATATATATATATATATATCTCGCGCGCACGCGCACCCTAGTAATCATATCTTCCAGCGTCTTGCAGATGGATCGACTCACAAACTAGTGGATATCACTCCGTAGCATCTCATTGTATCGGGCCTTCTTCATCTCCTCTTCTTCCACGTACTGCAAAACGAGACTAGCCGTCTCCCTGAACATAGTGGTGATCTCAGTCACCCTCTCAGTCGTTTGCTGGAGATCCTAGAACTCCCTAACAAGCTGTTGCACCTCTATCACAGGTGCAAACTCGGCTTTAAACCTAGCCAAGAAGTCACTCCAAGTCCTAGTGTCAAGGTAGCATCACTCACAGCATCCCCAACCTCCTCCTAGCAGTCGCGTGCCCTGTCCTTCAAGAGATAGGAAGCAAGTCGAACCTTGTCCCCCTCGGGACATTTGCTGTTAAGGAAAGCGTTGGCGACATTAGCTAACCATCTGGTGCTAGAAATGGGGTCCCGAGCCCCATGATAGTCGGGAGCTCCATAAGATCTGAACTCCCTGAATGTCAGTGTGCACGATCCTATCATGGCTTCCACCTCAGTGCGAAATGCACTCAGTCTCTCATCCAAAAGCTCCAATATACCCTCCTTGATCGTGCCAAAGATCACAAGAGTTTGGTCCAGAATACTACTCATGATCTCATATGAGATGAACTCCCCCATCTAGTCATCTAGCTTCCAGGCTCCAGAACCTAATCCTGATCCCTCACCAGCGCCTGAACTGCCGACTGGTCTAGTGCGTGGTGTCACCATAATGAAAAACACACCATAACAAACATTAGAATACTCATCATAGGGATCACATATACTACAAGTTCCCTGGATTCATCTCAGCCTTCCTTGATTCGAGTACGGATCCTATGCTTTCAGTAGTACGGGCCCATACTACCTTCCATATCTATTTGTACTCTCCTCAAGAGCTGCCTTGACTCCATCAAGTCCCTTCTACTGCTATTGCTTCATGCGCTAACCTCATCTTAGGCTTGCCCTAGGGTAATCACCATCCCACTCTCCGCCATCAGCTGCATAAGAAGTCCCTGCTATCTCCCCCTTAACTAGCTCATGAATACCATTACATATCACTAAGACTAGATAATTTTTTGAATGAGAGGTCGTACCCCATAACGCTTAGACTTAAACGAGAGCTACGAAATAAGGCTAAACCTAACCTTCTAAAATTATTTAGTCCTTGCAATATGTAACTTAGCATATTCCTTTACTAGTTAGTAAAAGATAACTAGAACTCATAACAACACAAAGCAAGCAACATTCGAGCATTGAGTAAACATAATCCAACATATCCTAATCAGACCATCATACCATCTACTAATCAGTACAAGCATTCAGTTCATAAAGCTCATACACATATAACAGGCACATAAGGCATCCTTCCCAGATCCTTAGCCCTAATCTAGCATGTAGTTCTCATAAACATAACATAACATAAACTTGTATGGGTAATTCGGGAGTACTTATTTGAGCTTAACTGATTGCATGCACCACACCATTTTTCTCTTTTCAAAATCCTTTCTGTAAAAATGTTTTTTTTTTTAAATTTTATACCAATTCCTCAATTTGAGTTCAGTCACACCCGAAAGTGTATCCGAATCCCTCAAACCAAGGCTCTGATACCAACTTGAAACATCCTAAAAATACAATATAAAAATTGCATTTTAAATCATCACTAAAAACCATAAGTATCATTCATCATATAAAAATCATATGTCATGTATCTGAAAAATATCATAACATTTGTCAATATATCAAAATCATATTTCAAATCATCAGAGTAAATCATCCACAGCTGAATGTTATGGTGTGTCCAATGCAGTCATCCTGAGCTCTTCCCCTTACTAGCAGAAGTACCTAAAAACAAAACTAGAAACTGTAAGCACGAAGCTTAGTGAGTCTCCCCAAACTACCACACACCATACACATAATCACATAATAACATACATTGGGCCTTGCCCACTACATCGGGGCCCGCCCAACATTGGACGAATTCGACATCGGGCCCCGCCCGACATTGAATCGAAGTTCGGCATCGTGCCCCTCCCGGCATTATACTGAAGACCGGTATACATATAACATATTAACAAGCACATAACATAAATATATAAACATTCCTCGGGCTTGCCTCGACATCGGACCAAATGCCGGAACATATAACACATAAAATATAAGTTAAAAATCACTCGAGCTTGCCCCGACATCAGAATGAAGGCTGGAATATATAAACATACACACACAAGAATCACGAAGACATCAAGCATACAAACATTCATCTGGCTTTCCCCGGCATCGGACCGAAGTCCGAAAACATATAACCTACATCGGGTTAAACCCGACATCAGACCTAAGTCTGGCATAATAACATACATAAACGGGTCGGCATTGGTGCATTCGACCTGTTCCTACTGAAAGAAAACTTACCTCAAAAAGTTGGCTGCTCAATCTCTCAGTAAGGAAATCTCTATCGGCTACTTTCACGACTCCCCAACTACATCATAAAAATAATACTTAGTCAAAATCCAAAATCTTTCTTAGGGTAAAATAACCACTTTACCCCTCATCAAAGTCAACATTCTGGTCAAAGTCAACATTCTAGGTTGACTCAACTCGCCGTGTTGACCCATCAACTCGCTAAGTTCTATAAATCAAAAACCCTAAAATCGCGATCCAACTCGTCGAGTCATCCCCATGACTTGCCGAGTTCCCTTACTACTCGTAGACGTGATAAAGCGACTAAACTCGTTGAGTTCTACCTGGTACAGAATCAGGACAAATTGACTAAACTCGTTGAGTTTCTCTATGGACTCAACAAGTTCCTCGGTCTGTTTGGGCCATCTTAAAGGATTAAGCCCCCACTCTAAGCTTCATATTTCTCACCTACCCTGAAAATGTCATTTTAAGGATAAAGTTTCCAACTTTACCCATTAGTACCTTTACTTAATGAGTTTAGCTCAACCCCTAACTCTTTAGGACTTAGATATTGGTCCACAAGCCATCTATACTCCAAACTAAAGCATAAAAGTAGAGATCTAGACCCCAAACACTACAAGAACACATAAAGCTTCCTCCTTTCACACCATGCATGGCCTTTTGGAGCTTAAAATGCCAAAATGACATCCTGTGGCTTGCATGGGCTTCAATGGTCATAAAGTTTGCACCTTTATGAAATGAAAGCCCTCCATGATTCCAGATATGATGGTTCACTCACTTAGGATGTCCATATCCCAAAGGTCAAGCTTCTTGGACCAAAAACCCAATAAGATGATGATAAAGAGATCTAAGAAGCTACTAAGCTAGTTTGAGACTTGCTTACCATAAAATGATGAGGAAGAAATGAAGTCTATGTATCTACTATCTTCTTCTTGAATCCCAAAGATTCTCCTTCCTTCACAAGCTTCAAAACACACAAAGTTCCACTCACAAATGGCTCACAAGCTTACAATTGCATTAAGGTTTCTGAATCTAGGGTTTGGGACTTGGAGGCTGGAAATGAGGCCAACTAGTGGGGATTAGGATGCTTAAATAGGGTGCAAAATCCTGAAATTAGGGTTTCATCCTGGCAGCCCTACTCGTCGAGTAGGTTGTTTAAAACACGTGTCTCTTCTAATCTCTACCCGACGAGTCTGGGGCTACCAAATCGTCGATCTGCTTTATAAAAATGAATAAAGTATTAGATGTTACACATATCATGAATCAGTGTAAAAAACAATGACATTTTGTGATCGATGGGGCAATGGCAAGTTGACGGGTGGTGTAACAGTGACAAAAATGGCGAGATACGAAACACAACAATTGTTAACTTGAAACATGATAGTAGATTAAGACTTGTCGGAGATGAACTGTGGTGGCTGCCAATAAAGGACCAACTACGAAAGAAATTTAAACCATATGGGTCATTCGTGTAATTTAGAATAACCAGTTAACATATAAATGGTTAAAAACCAACGATAATAGCTTAATTGACATATACAGTAAAAACTAAATGTCTTATTGCACATAAAAATCATAAATTATCAAATAAGACCAAACATTTAATATCATTGTGCTACAATGATATTTTTTTTCATTATAAAACCAAAAGGAACCAAACTAGGAAAAGACAATATTTTTTGAGTTACAAGACCTCTATTTTTTTTTAAACAGTTAGACTTCAATTAAAAACAATAAATGGAATTACATGGTACAATACAATAAAGTTTCAAAAATATTTTAGCGAAATTTATTGGTTAGACGTGCAAAAAAGAAAGTGATTAAATTTAAACAAAAATGACAATTGGATAGCCTAATAGACCATTTTCCCGCATTTTACCACCAAATGGTTCTTAATTAATTTGTACCTTTTGATTTAAAAACTACACAAATAATTTTGTAACATGATAAAATAACATAAAGATAAAGGGATTGATTTATTATCAAAAGAAAACATGATTAATTAGTGTTGGAAATTATAACCCACGTTGTACCAACTTGAGATATAACTAATGTAAGCATGTACAAGTTTTCACAATTTTACTACATCTCGATTTATTCATTCCAACTATCCAACTAATAATAATTAAAATCCTCGAAAATATGACAAAAATCATAAATTCAATTTACAAGATTCGAGTCGTCAAAACTCAAGCCGTGGCTAGGCTAAAGCCTCAGATGCAAGTCAAGTCCGAATGTGTCACTAAAGCCGGCTCCACCGTCCCCATGACGAGCTCGGTTATTCGGCTGAGGCCTGGAGCTTATGACACTTGACGCCGACGACTCCTCTACGACGGCGCCGGCATATGGTCCTCTCCTGCCACCCGGAGATAACGAAGAACCTGGTAACACGCATCCGTGTGTCACTTGGAAGGGGGGAGAGCCGCGTGGAATGTAGACCCACGTCGGAGACGGAAGGCCGGTGGACGGTAGTATCATCCGATGGCCGCCGTGTGACAGGAGGTGAGGTGGTTGAGTGTAGGCGGAGATGATCGGGTTTCGGATGTATGCATTACGACTGGCTTGAATTTGAGCACGCTTCAACTGTTGGCGTTCTTTCTTATGTGCGTTCTGGTGGCCACCGAGAGCCTGTGAGTTTGCGAACTCCCGACAGCAATACTTACACTCGTATTTCCGACCATCGGAGGATACAGTTGGTGTTTTGGTTGATTCTATCATGTCTTCATCCTCTTCATGTAGTACGTTGAACCCAAAGAGCTTTACCCTTCTTGTTGTAGTGCTGTTGTTAGGTTTAGTATCATAATCATCAAGTTCTGCCATAGGAATCTATAAAGCGATCTATCATCTATAGAGACATATGACAAATAGGTTAGAGAGAAAGAGAGATAGGGTATATATGTTGGGAGAGATGTTGCATGGGGTGATAGTATTTATAAGGAAGTGTGTGTGTGTGTGTGTGTGTGTGTGTGTGTGTGTGTGTGTGTGTGGTGTGTGTGTGTGTGTGTGTGTGGTGTGTGTTGTGTTGTGTGAGAGAGAGAGAGAGAGAGAGAGAGAGAGAGAGAGAGAGGAGAGAGAAGAGAGAGAGAGAGAGAGAGAGAGAGAGAGAGAGAGAGAGAGAGAGAGATGTTGCGGACATCCCAAGAAGAAAAGTAAAGGTAAGTGTAAATTTGGCAACATCAATACGAACAGGACCAAAGCTACAGTTAATGCATTATTCTATAACGTTTTGTGTATGGTGTGATTTTTTTAGGTATATTATATGTCGGTATTTGTGTTTTTTTAAAGGTAAAAGTAATCGACTTGTAAATTATTTTTTTAATTTTATGTATCAATTATAAACAAATTTAAACATGCAACCTTTCTTATGGACTGTCATCTTAGTTCCACCTATCAATTATAAAAATTATAAACAAAGTTTAAACATGCAACCTTTCTTATGGATTGTCACATACTTATACTTACCAATCAAGATTTGTATCGTTCTTGTTTTAGACATGTTTTTTTGGGATTCACCGAATAATATACAAGCGTCAAATTTAATTGGTTATATATACGTTAAATAAGCTTCAATCATTTTGATTTGATCAATAGGAGGTATTGTTAATTGCATAAACTTAGGTGAAGCCTTGAAAGTAGTTAACTATAAAATGGCCATGAGGAAGTTAGGGATGACGGATGAAAATGACGTGGAGGCCGGTCAATGACGCTTTCGTTCATTAGTCACATAAGTAGTTACATTTGAAGGCAAAAAAACTGAAGTAAAAGAAAGGTTAACGAACATGACGCGCTATGTGACTGTTGCATGGTGGTTGAACAATCAAACGATTGACTTCACAAATCACAATGGTTTCTTCACCAACTTAATACCATTTTAGGAATTTTATTTGTTTTATATGTAAAACACACATATTTCTCATCATGCTTCCAATAATAACATGGCACGTGGAGTATAATAAACTGATCAAGGAAACTTGTGAACTTCTTGTATTCGACTACGATGTTATCTAACAAAAGATGACTGTGGTAGAGTGGTAGTGGTACTTCCTGCCAGTTATCAATCACCGTCTAATGTTGAACCGGACCGGGTTCATTGTAATGGATTCTAGAAAACAAATAGCCAATAGGATTATTTATTACATCAAAAAAAAAAAAAAAAAAAAAAAAAAGAGAGAAAAAAAAGGAGACTTGGGTTTTGTTGCAACCCTTTGACTCTTTACTTGTATATGCGACTTATTTCATGTTTAGATTTCATTTTAATATGTTTAGGTAGTCTTTTAGAAGCAATTAGACCAATATCATTTTTCCTTTTGTCTATTAATAATCATTTAATTAAATTATATATAAAGGGACGGGACCATATAATTTGAAAATGGTGCATGGTGCAAACAACATGTGGCTTCTAGGGGACATAAATTAGGATTCTCCCTAAGATTAGAAATGTAGCATTTCAATTCGACCTAATTATTGTACCTTTTAACTTTTAGATATTTATGACAACTTTTGTTTTTTATTTGATACTTCTTATTTTAAATCAAATTACAATAATTAATTACTTTTTAGATGATTACGAATAAATTTATTTATTTATCAACCAACAGGAATATGTAAGATCAATTATGGTTTGTAAACTTTTAGTCGATATATTTTGGTATTTTTTATTTGTAGTGAAAAAGTTGTATGCCATACATTAATTCAAATGTTATAATTGTTTCAGAACCCACTCAGAAGTATATAGAGTATTGTGTGGATCACCAATTGTTTAATTGTCATTCTCTTGTGGAGATCATGAAATGTTGGACCACAATACCATCAATGAGAGCTCAAAGAAGTTGGTTTAACTCACAAAGGAAACTTTTGAAGTGACCTTACGTATATGGTTCTAGTTATGTAACACGTACAACAATCAAATCAGTTTTGATACAATAATCGACAAAACATTATTTTCCAGCTATTGATAAGATCATATTTGATATAACTTTTGTATAGCAAATGTACATTTGAAACTAGTCATTTCATATTTGTCATATCTGTTGATCTGTAATTCTTCCTAATCTTTAATATGGAACACTTGGATGTCTCAATCTCACAATTTTCATAAACAATATATGCCAAAAGACACCAAATAGGGTGTTTGGTTTTGTGTTATTGTAAAAAATGTATTATAATTGAGTTTTACAGTAAAAGATGTTTATATGGAGCTTTGGATTTAGGTTAAACATAGTTTGAATTAAGTTATAGTTAAGTATACTCTTTATAGATCATGGTAAGAGTCGAGGATCTAATTTTTGATCCATCGCACTAATTTTATTTTTCTTGGTCAAATTTAAGAGCACTCTACCGATGAGTTTTTGTGATGTCATCTTTAAACAGAGCGACCCTAAGGGTGTACATGGTGTGCAGCTGTACAGGACCCCGAGGTGGCTTCGGAAAAAAAATAGGGCCCGAATTTCACAAAATTATATACTTATAATGTGTGTATATATATTTGTTTCTTCAAAAATAAATAATAAACTTCACTTGGCGCCCATTCATGTTTGATTTGGGTTAGATCCCCATCTAAATTTATCGTTTAAATTAAATGAATGTTTTTCTTTAACCCCTCAAATTTATTAGTTAATCCCATTTAATAAATCAATTTGGATAAGTTACAAAATTTATTAGTTAATTCCATTTAATAAATCAATTTTCATAAGTTACAAGTTTGGTCTTCCTAATTTTTATAATTTTACATTTTGAGTAATTAAACAATTTTGTTTTTCCTTTTTATTTGTCAATTTAAGATAATTACTTGTTTTATAAGATAAAGATTAACTGTTTGTATTTTAATTTGAATTATCTTATAAGAAAAATAGATTAGGTCAAATTATGTGATAATTATTAATTATATGATATTTAATTATTTTTCAAATTTGATCTAAAAGATATTTTGAAAAGTTTCAAAATTTGCCCTCAAGTTTTAAAATTTAAAATTTGATTAAAAAGTTTTAATTTTGAACTATTAAATTTTAAAACCCTCATATTTTGAATAGTTCAAATCAACCCCTTATGGTTTTATTAAATTAATTAAGTGTTTAATTAAAAAAGAAAAGTAATGAATCTATAATAATATGGTTTAAATTAAAAGTCTAATTTATTAATAGATTAAACTACTTAGTATTTTAAATGTATAAAATACATCCTTATACTATATAAAATTTAAAGTATAATATATTATATATGTATAAGTAAAAAGTCAGTTTTACCCTTAGTATGCCTCATTCACGAAGCTAGTCTATAAGGGGTGTTTAAGGAAGCGACTTGTAAAATGATCGTCATTGGGTATTCACTCTTACCCACCGCACCCTTGACTAGTGGAGGGTCGTTAGCCGAACGGGTAAGATAGGACACAAGCTTTCATTATAAGTATAATGAAATACGAAGTAACAAAACGCTTTTATAAATTTCCAAATCTTAGTTACTTTAGGAAAAATATGAACTTGGTGCTAATCCATGAAATTGAACATTACACCTTGTTGGTCGTTAGTGGAGCGTGTGCGGTTAACCGGCACACGAATATGAGACCAATAAAGGATGGAAATTGGTAGCTCGTAGATTATCATAGATCAATGGAGCGTGTGTGGTTAACCGGCACGTTGATTAGGTGATTAACATCTTCGAGAGTACCAAGCTAATTTGCATGGTTACTCACACCTTGTTTGTGATCATCGGTATCCCAGTCACAAACTTGAAGGGCATAATCGAGATTAAACATGCCATTAAAAAGTTCAATAAATCTCAAAAGATCTAGGAATGTCAATTCATTTAAAACCTAGTTTTCATTTTCGTTTTTCATGGTGGAAAATGGTAAATCGTCATTTACCTACCTTCAAATATTTTATAACTGGATTACGACATCCCTCTTCTGGGTTGTAGAATATTGTGTTGGGTCCTAGTTTTAATATTTCATTTGGGTGTTATATTAAGGACTTGAATCAACTAACTTGAATTTCTCCTTTTTGTAGATGTCAAATTCTAACAACTATGGTCTTCCTGAATCCTTTGGATAAAGCTTTCCACATGAAGATAATGTTCCACGATTGGATCATGCAAATGGAAATCATTCTTCACTTCCTCCACCTCCTTCAATAGTTCTCCCTGACCCATGTGTTCGAAGACTTGAAAAATTCAAGGTCACTCAAGACCTATTGGCAAGCAAACACAAAGATGGAAAGTCAATATGTACTCATGTCTTGGAGATGAAGTTACATATTGACAGGCTACGAATGTTGGGTGTCGATGTCTCCAGGTAGTTGGCTGTTGACTTGGTTCTTCAATCACTTCCTGAATCATATAGTGAGTTCATTAAAGATTACTATATGATTGACCACGATGTGACCCTCATTGATCTTACCTATTTGCTTATTGTTGCTGAATCAGCAATGATTTGGCGTACTGGTCAAGCATATTTTTTTGGAAGATCAATCTCCCAAACTTTCATGGATATTGACAACAGCAACATTGGAAGTCCAGAAAAGTCATCTATTCCCAATGGATAGGGATTGGACAAGGTCAAACCATTTGACCGGATGGTAAGGAGAAAGACTAAGTTTGAGATTTCCCTGTATACTGATCCAAAAGGGTCTACATGTTTTTATTGCTAAGAGAAGGGGCATTGATTACAAAGTTGTCATATTTACCTGAGAGATCGCAAGGATGGGAGAGTCAAGATGTATGACTCAGGTTCAAGTAAAATCCACTATCTAACTCTATTAAGTTTCTGTTTGTAGATTCTTAATACATGATGTGATAAGATTGGAGAAAAGAAAGGAAGCTTAAAAGGA